AAGCTGAAAACTTTTGGGCTCTTGTGCTGAGAAGGAACTTCTCCTGTGCTGTGGAAATTTGCTCAGCATGACAATCCCTGGGTCCTGCAATGTGACTCTTGGAGGACACTGTTCCTCCAGTGATGGATGAGCCAGAGCAGAGTGAGGAGCTTCTTATGGGAGGGGAGGGTCCTGCTTGCCAAAAAAATGGATTAATCTGTATCCTTTCAAGGGCACTGAGTCTTCTGATGGTGATGATGTTCTCCTGGTGCCACACTTGAATCCAGAGGAGGACACGGAGATGCTCCAAGAGCTGGAGCCCCTCTGCTCTGGAGCCAGGCTGGGAGAGCTGGGGGGATTCTCCTGGAGAAGAGAAGGCTTCAGGGAGACCTGAGAGCCCCTTCCAGGGCCTAAAGGGGCTCCAGGAGAGCTGGAGAGGGACTGGGGACAAGGGATGGAGGGACAGGACAAGGGGGAATGGCTTCCCACTGCCAGAGGGCAGGGATGGCTGGGATATTGGGAAGGAATTGTTCCCTGTGAGGGTGGTGAGGCCCTGGCACAGGTTGCCCAGAGAAGCTGTGGCTGCCCCATCCCTGGGAGTGTCCAAGGCCAGGTTGGATGTGACTTGGAGCAACCTGGGCTAGTGGAAGGTGTCCCTGCCCATGGCAGGAGGTTGATCTGGGTGATCTTTAAGGTCCCTTCCAACCCAAACCATTCCATGGTCTGCAGAGCTCTGGGAGCCTGGAGGCTGAACAGAGCTGGCTTTGGGAGAGGCAGAAATGATCTCCAGGCCTCTTCCAGGGGCTCTGTCTCCAAGCTTTGGAAAGCTGTGAAATTTTGGATTGTGTTGGAATTTGAAATTCCCTTTTTCTGCATTTTGGATCCTTTATCCTTGCCGAGGTTTCTGCATAAAAACACACGTTACCACTCTGCTGAAGCGATTCTTGGCTCCAGGGGTTTTTTTTCCTGATCCACATCCCTGTGACAAGTCATTTCCAAGTGTGAAAATTGCTTTGATATCTTTATTCAGCACTTGCTCACTTAGGAAGTTGTTGCATAATCCAGGCAAGGGAAGAGGCTGGAGTTTGGGGAAAGGACTTTTCCAGTGCTGGGAAAGGGCAGCTTTCCAGTTGCTCCAGGAATGCTGGGCTGTGGGGCTGCACTGCCAGTTTTCAGACTGTTTTGTGCCGTGATCAGAGCAGGTCCCTGCCAGCTCAGAAGCTCTGAAAATGTGTCCTGAAGTCGTTTTGCAAGTCAGGCCTTCCCTTGAAGGGAGGGAGCAAATCCTAATGAGCCCAAGGAGCTGCCTTTGAAGTGGCTTCCTGCTCGTCCCCCAGTCCCTGCAAAGGCTCTGTGAAGCTGTGTGAAGGAAAGAGCAATTTTTGTTTGGAGTTTGCACCATCATTTCCTCTCCCCAGTGGGTGCTTTTGCTGTTCAAGCAGCTCAGTGTTTGTGTTGACAATACTGAGATTCATTAGCTGCAAAAATAGGCATTTCTTGGAGGTGCCTGGGCAGGAAACAGCATTTTCCAACAATGAAATAACTTGAGCTGTGTCTGAGAAAGGTGTGTGAGTGTTCAGGGTGCCTGCCTTGGGGCTAGGAAGTGGGGATAAAAATAAAGGGGTTATTATATTTACTCCCAAACGGTGGGACACTGTTCCTGTGTCTTAACAACAGAGCCAGTGTGAGGGACACGGTCCAAGGGAAGGGCTGGGTTGGAAAAGGGAGATGATGCTCCCCTGTCCCACTTGGAGAAGGGAAATGCTCCCTCTGCACCACCTGGAGAAGGGAGATGTTCCCCTGCTTTGGGTGGAGGAGGGAGGTGCTTCCTTTTCCCATTTGGAGAAGGGAGATGCTCCCCTGCCTTGGTTGGAGAAGGGAGCTGCTGTTCCTCTCCTGTCCCACCTGGAGAAGGGAGATCATGCTCCTCTGGGATCACTCCACCCCCTGCTCTTTGCTGCACATTTGGGGTGTCCCCCCTTCCCTGTCCCTCCTGAGATCAGCCCTGGGCTGTTTCGTGGAGAGTAATTCTGTTTGATCTACGAAAAGATGAATGTTGAGGAGGAGGGAATTAAAAAGAAATGATAAAAAAGAAGCAGCCCCAATCCCTCTTGGTTATTGAAGTGGGAAGGGAACACTTTGTCAAAGTGACACCAGGTCCTTTATTAACCCTTTCTGGCCCGGGGAGTGTCAGCATTTGTATTATTATAGAATATCCTGAACTGGAAGGGACTCACAAGGATCCAGTCCAAGCCCTGGCCCTGCACAGACACCCCAAATCCCACTCCCTGAGCTCTGGCAGCCTTGGGACCGTGACACTTCCCAGATCTTCTGAGAGACCAGGACCTCAGATCCACTCAGTGAAAGGCTTTTTTTTATCCTAAATATCCTCCCCTAACCCTGTTCAGGTTTGTGCTTCCCTTGTGCCCTGTCCTGCCACTGAAAGGCTGCAATGCTTTTTCGGGGCAGCCTGGCAGGATTTTAGCAGGAATTTTTAGCAGGAATTGCCTGAAGGGAAAATACTGCTTTTCCCCGGGTCAGATCTTCATTCCTTTGCCCTCGAAGTGTTTGGGGAACAGAAGGCTGAGCTGCACCCTGGAACTTGCATTTTTGGGACCCCCAGAGAGAAAGGTACCTGTTACTCTGTAGCTCTGAGAATCCATCAAGGGACAAAGCCCAGAATCTCTGTTTCTTGAGCATCCTGCCAACCCTGAGGTGGTTTGTGTCCTCCAGAGAGCGAGACTGGAAAGATTTCGGGGACCAAGTGACGCGTGCCAAAGCGCCTCTCAGGGGTTTTCCCCCTGTTAAGATATTTCTTGGACAATATTTTATATTAAGGTGCCTTTAATGGACCTCAGGCAATCCCAAGGAAAGCCCAGTGCTGTGTGTTAGACCAGCCTGCCCTGATAACCTGGATTTCCTTTGCCACCTGATGGGCATCTGTGCTCCTGCCCCTTCCCGGGGCTGCTTCTCTGCACCCGGAGCTTTTTGATGTCAAACAGATGCAGTTCCACACCCTTGACTCTCCCTCCCCTCCACAAGGTTTGTTATTTGATTAACTCCTCTTCCTCTCCCCTTCTCCTGATGCCTGCAGAGGGGGAAATAAGTTGCTTTTCCTGGGAAAAGCAGGGAGCAGAACATCAGCCTGCTTTGAGATCCCGCCGCTTCAGCTCGTTGAATTCTCGGGGTTTAAGCTCTTTATTTCTTGTTTTGCTGTGCTTATAAGAGGCTCTCCTGGGGCTCTGCTGTACAACAAATACAAATAAAACATGAATAAAGCGATCTGACTGCTGGCATTCCTCAAGGATTACTCCCAGAGAACATTTTGGGCTGTTTAGTCATTTTGATGTGTCCCTTCTCCAGCTTTTCCTAAAAACACTTGAGAGATGTTGCCCTCTGGAAAGAGGCTTCTTCAGTCACAACAGTAAATTTTGATTTTTCTACCTGTTTCCTGTATCCACTTGAGTTTCTTTCCCTGCTTTCCCTCCCCAGTTGTGATTAATTAATATGGTTTTTGGGATAGTTCAGTTATGGAAGTGTTGGATGCACAGTTATTCCTTGTCAGTGCTGCCAGGGATTGTGGGGCAGGTAGTGCCTGGGGGAAAACACCCAAATTTGGTTAAAAACGGCCAAACCCAACCAACAAATACAAGACAATTGGTGTGAATTATGAAATATTAAAAAAAAAAAGGAATTGGGAAAAATGAACCAAAACTAGCAAAAAATGAGCAAAAATAAATGGGGTTAAGGGAAGGAAAATGGGCAAAATTAGTTAAAAATTATAAAAATATGTCAAAAAAATATATAAATTTGAGAAATATTGTTTAAAAGTACTAAAGAAACCCAGAATTGGTAAAATGGTTAGAAAGGACAAAAAGGCCAAACTAAAATCACAAGAGTATATAAAAATTAATAAAAAGAACCAAAAAGCCACCAAAATTATAGAAAATTGATGGGATCCAGGCTGGGATCCAGCTTGGGCCCAGCTGAGGAGCCTGGAGCTGCTGTGGGTTTGTTGCTGTGGGTTTGTTGAGGGCTCTTTCCCTCTGGCTGAACTGTCCCAGTTTATAGTCTACAGTGTGTGGGGATGGCAAAGGAGTTAATCAAAGAGCACTTTTGCTGGGAAAATTGCTCTGTAAATAAATTCCAAAAATAAGTGAAATAAAATTCCCCAAAATAAGCGAAATGAAATTCCAAAAATAAGCGAAATAAAATTCCAAAAATAAGTGAAATAAAACATCAATGGGAGCTGAAGGGGAAGGAGAAGATGGAAACAAGCGGATGTCACGGCGAGAGTGGATTTGTTCCGTGGCCAAGTGCTTGTGTGGAGAGTCCTTTTGTCCCCAGGAGCTTCTCTGGAGAGCAGCCCTTGGAGGGCACATCAGAACAACTCCAAGGACAGAAGCTCTGGGAGTGCTGTCACTGTTCAGGTTGGATAGTGGGCAAAATTCCTCCATGGAAAAGCTTGTCCAGCCCTGGCACAGCTGCCCAGGACAGTGGGGGGAGTCCCCAACCCTGGAGGGATTTAAGACATGTGGGAGTGGCCCTTGGGGACAGGGTGCAGTGGTGGCCTTGGCAGTGCTGGGGAATGGCTGGATTTGATGATCTCAGAGGGCTTTTCCAACCTGGATGAGTCCATGTTCCTGTGGAAAGTCACCAGTGCCAGATGATCCAGCTGGAGGAACGAAAACATCTGTAACTAATGGGGACGTTTTATGCCTGGGGAAGCAAATCAAAGAGAGTTAAATTTCCTGGTTATTTTCCCATTAAGTTAAAGCTCCTGTAAAAACGAAGTGCCTGGGAAATCCAGGAGGAATATCAGTCATTTTATGGGATAAGGTGGCTCAGCTCCGATGCTGGGGAGTAAATACCTTGAAAGAACAAGTGAGGAGGCTCCTGCTTTGGTTCAATCTCTGGAATAAAAGAATGATTTAATCTCTTTTTTTCCTCTTTGAAGTCCCAGGGCTGGAACATCCCTGTGCCAGAGTGGGATCCTAATGGGATTTTTTCCTTGATTCCAGGAACAGCGCACGGTTTACAGGCTGACCCTGGTGAAAGCTTGGAATGTGGATGAACTCAAAGCTTATGCTGAGCTGATATCCCTTGGAAAACCAGACTTCATCGAGGTCAAGGTGAGCTGCCTGGAGCTGTTCCCTTTTTTTCCATTGTTTTTTTCCCAGTTTTTAACTCCCCATTTCCCCCCCACTTTAGTCTTCAGTGTTCTGAGTAAAACTCTCCTCAAGATTTCAGTGACTTGTAAGGAACTTTACTCTTCCTTTTAATGTTAGTTCACTGGTAATAATTAATAATCAGTATTTTCTAATGTGCATTTGGAGTAGGTTTCAATGGGCCACAAGTTAAGTTTTGTGCCAGCCAGCCTTGATTTCTGCCCAACACAATTTCTGTATTTCTCATGGAAACAGGGACTGATAAATAGATATTCCTTCTTTATGTCAACCAACACTTTGAACAAATTATTCTGGGAAAAGCTGGCAGTTTGTGGTGTGATTCTTCCCATCCTGGTGTCAAATTTTGCCAGGGAAAAGGTGATAATATCAGGTTTAGTGATGTGGTTGCTGTTTGTACACAGCAGGGCAGGAGGGGCTTTGTCATGGGGTTCATGGATTTAGGGAATGTAAAAAAAAAGTTAAAAACTTGTAAAAAAGGCATCTTATGAATGCTCTGGGAAGAGCCCCCTCTCAGCACTGGCACCCAGCAGCTCAGTTACCTCTGGATTTGTGCAGCTCCAACTCCTGGACTTTCCCTTTCCTTTTCCTTCTCCCCTTCAATTTTTTAACCTTGTTTTTGAAGAAAAAGCCTGGACTTTGCTGCAGTGGAACAAACCCAAAGGCTTTGATCCATCAGTGGTGAGAGGTCTCTCTCTGAATGTGCTGCTGAAGTTGAGACCTTGATCCAAAGTCAGGGTTTGGGGAGAAAAAACCCTCACTTTTACCTTGTGTATCAAACTGCTTCGTATTCCTTGGGTCAAGCCAAGCAGGAGGAGTGTTCCTGTGGGAAGAACTCCTGATCTCCAGGATACTGGAGGGCAGGGATGGAGCTGTGGGTGTTGGTGCTGCTGAGGCTGCTCTGCCCTGGGCACCAATTAGTGCAATGAGTTGGGTTTAAATCAATGTTTCCAAACACTGATCCCATGGGAATTCTGCAGGGCAAACATCTGCCTCCTCCAAGGCACAGGGCTGCTCTTCCCTCTCCCCCCTCTAGTCCTGCTTTCCCAGAGTTCAGCTCTTCCCTGGAAAAATCATGCCTTGGGCTGCCAGGGAAGTAGGTGAGGAAGGAGGTGAGCAAAGGATGTGCTCCTGGGGCTCTTCCAGCTGGGACAGGGGCATCTCTGGAACACTTCCTCTTGAGGCAGAGAGGGGGGGAGACATTTCCCAGGATCCATGTAGTGGGCTGGTGGCACTGAGGGCTCATCCTTGCTCAGCTGCAGGGGGTCAGAGGCTGGCAGGACACACAGGGGGCTGCTGGGTGGGTTTGGGGCTTTTCTCGGGCTGATCCAAGTGGGAGTTTGCTGTTTCTTGGGGATTTTTAATAACAAAAAGTATGTGCTGTCTAATGTCACCTAATTCCACTTGCAAGCAGGAATCCCAGAGTGGGTCAGGCTGGAAGGGACCACAGTGGGGCATCTGGTCAAGCAAGGTCATCCCAGAGCACATGGCACAGGATTGTGTCCAGATGGTTCTGGAACATCCCCGGTGAGGGACACTCCACACCCTCCCTGGGCAGCCTGGGCAGTGCCTTGCTCTAAATGTCCTATTTCCAGAAATAGGACATATCCCTGAATTCCCAGCAGCTCATCCTGGCCAGGTGCCTTCAAGCCAAGGGACATCAAGGACATTTTGTGCCTCAGTTTCCTTCTCTGGGAACAGTTTAGTGTCGTACCTGTGCTCCGGTCCCAAAAGCTGGCATGTGGAAAAGTCTCTTGTGTTTCTAATCCCAAGAGCTCAGGGACCCAGGGAAATTGGGGTTTAAGCCTTTTTAAAGGATGCCACATCCCTCTGCTGGCTGGAAGTGTTGGGAAAGCCTTCCCTTCCCAGTCTCAGCTCGGATGAAAACCCACAGTCCAACGTTTCACAGCTCCAAGGTGAGCTGGGCACTCAAACCCCACAAACACCCTCTTCACTTTGCTCTTTGTTTCCAGCCTGGTGGAGGGAGGGTGATTTTCCCAAGCTCTCCAAAGCAAACAAGAGGTCTGACAGCAGCTCAGCCCCGGGAGAGAGGAGAGAACAAGAGCACAGCTAATTCCTCCTCAGCTCCAGCAGCAGGAAGGAGTTATCAGTGCTCAGGACAGGAAGGAGGCTCCATTTTTTTTCCATGTAATTGAGGTTTTAAATAGAGCTGTGCTGCCCTGTGATCTGGGTTTGGGAAAGAAGAAAGGCAGGTTGATTCCTTGGTAGTGTGGATGTTGTGAGCAGCAGTGCTGGAGCTCTTGTTCACGCAGGGCAGGCTCAGGTTGGATCTCAGGCAAAGGTTCTTCCCCCAGAGGCTGGTTGGGCACTGCCCAGGCTCCCCAGGGCAGTGGGCACAGCCCCAAGGCTGCCAGAGCTCAGGGAGAGTTTGGCTGATCCTCTGGGGCACAGGGGGTGACTCTTGGGGCTGGGCCTGTGCAGGGCTGAGGGTTGGACTCCATGATCCTTGGGGGTCCCTCCCAGCTCAGCACATCCTGGGATTCTATGATCTTACAACAGTTTGAAGCAACTCAGTGCTGGCCCAACACTGGGGTCTAAATGACCTTTCTGAAAAATCATGGATTTCTCTGGTGGCTTCCCTGGCTTTGCTTGAGACAGATTGTGTTTCAATTGACCCGAAGCTGGATGAAGGGTCCTTGCTCACAGATTTTTATCTGGGATGTTTTTATGGGAGAACAAGAGGGTTTTAAACAAGTTTAACAACCAAGTGTAATGTTCCAGGAGGTGGCACTTCATGCTCTGCAGGGGGAAGTAGCTCACACCAAGTCCAGCATCATCCTATATTGGCCTTTTGTGTTTTCTGCGGCTTCATCATCACAATTTTTCCCTTTTCATGGCCAGGAGTGAGGGACGTGTTCCAGAGTGACTGAGAGTGGCTGATGATCAGTGAGGTTTGTTGCTGTGGGATGTGAGAGTCCAACAACTACCAACATCCCTGGAAGTGTCCAAGGCCAGGTTGGACGGGGCTTGGAGCAACCTGGGCTGGTGGAAGTGTCCCTGCCCATGGCAGGGGGTGGGACAAGGTGGGCTTTAAGTTCCCTTCCACCCCAAACCATTCCATGATTCTGTGATTGTACCATAGGACAGAAAGTCAGGGGTTCAATTCTAACCCAAGTGAAGACAGGAAGGGTTGAGTGTGTTCCAGTCTAGTCTCAAGGTTGCTGCTGGGATTCCCTTCCCTGCAAAAACTCAGACAAAATCTCCTACCAGTGTGTCCCTGGCCTCTGGTCCAGCCCTGGCAGTTGTGGTGCTCACACAGCATTTGTCACCTGGGAATTGATATTGTCACTCGATATTTTTGATTAAAAGTGATTTCTTGTGTTCCTTTGAGAATGAAGCATATCTGGCACGTGGACAGGGCTCAGCATTTTGTTTCCCAGAGCTCCCGTGTGACAGGTTAAAAAGGCAACAACGGGTAGTGCTCAAAGCAAATAAACAAACAATTAGTAGGAGACACTGCAAAGCATCTGCCAGAAAATGGGGCTGATCCCAGTGGGATTTCCTGGTTAAATACTGGAGATAAATGACGTCCATTTAAAATGAACTGAGCTAATCCAGTGTTGCTCCAAAGAGGCTCATGGGGTGGAGGGGATGGAGATTTAGATTCTCGCAGGGCTTAATACTTGTTCTCATTTCCATGAGTGTCTGAACTCTGTGGGACCCTGTTCTCTTCCTTAAGCCAGTGGTAAAGGGAGAATCAGTCCTGGGGTTACTAAATATGCATCCAATGTATTTATTGCCTTAGTCTGTTCTAATGCCAGCGTGTCTCTGGCACAGTTGATGGTTGTATTTAAGGTCTAGAACGTGCAACTCGTTGTCTTGAATGTTCCAAAAGCCAGAGGTTTGTGTTGCCATACAGCATTTTTATGTCCAGGGAAAGGAATGGAGCTGGGAAGGGGCTGGAGCAGCAGGAGCAGCTGAGGGAGCTGGGGGGGCTCAACCTGGAGCAAAGGAGGCTCAGGGGGGACCTTCTGGCTCTGCAACCCCCTGACAGGAGGGGGGAGCTGGGGGGGGTCGGGCTCTGCTTCCAGGGAACAAGGGATGGGATGAGAGGGAATGGCCTCCAGCTGTGCCAGGGGAGGGTCAGGTTGGACATCAGGAGGAATTTCTCCATGGAAAGGGTTATCCAGCCCTGGCCCAGCTGCCCAGGCAGGAGTGGAGTCCCCATCCCTGGAGGGATTCAACAGACATGGATGTGGCACTTGGGGACATCATTAGTGGTGGCCTTGGCAGTGCTGGGGGATGGTTGGACTCCATGATCTCAGAGGGGTTTTCATCCCTAATGACTCTGTTGATGACTTTAGGACTCTGTTGGATTCTTTGAGAATCTAATAATTCTATTTTGCCATTTATTCCTTCTTAAACCAAAGGGGCAAAAGGATTTTCCTATGAAGTGTAGATGAGCCCTTAGGAACTCCTTCAGAAGTGAGAACCAAACCTGGCCTGGCACTCCAGAGCTGCTTCTGCAGAGCTGAGGGAGATCTCTGCTCTCTGTGACCAGGGACAGCAGCCAGGCAATGGCTGGAGCTGTGTCAGGGCAGGCTCAGGTTGGATCTCAGGCAAAGGTTCTTCCCCCAGAGGCTGGTTGGGCACTGCCCAGGCTCCCCAGGGCAGTGGGCACAGCCCCAAGGCTGCCAGAGCTCAGGGAGGGTTTGGACAATTCTCTCAGAGACAGAGTGGGATTGTTGGGGTGTCTGTGCAGGACCAGGAGTTGGTCCCTCCCAGCTCAGGATATTCCATGGTTTTCTGATCTGGTTGCTGTGGTTGGAGCCCGAAGCGGAACATTGTCCCTGGGGAAGGGTCTGTCCTTGTTAAATCATGGAATGGCTTGGGCTGGGGGAGACCTTAAAGACCATCCTGTTCCACCCCTGCCCTGGGCAGGGACACCTTCCACTAGCCCAGGTTGCTTCAACCTGGCCTTGGAC